TTGTAGGTGTCTTTTTTTATAAATGGAGGCGTTGTCACCGCTCTCAATGATTTACCCACCTTTTTCAGAAGACGATATCGATTAGTTTTGGAAAATAGTTGTTTCTCCAATGTGCCAGAAAGGTTCTCCACCTGTCAGACCTGGGTTATTTATAGCTTCACGTTTAATTTACGAGACATAACGTTGGAAAACAACACTCGAGTGACCCTTATTGCACATCTTACGTACATTCGTAGGAGGTGCAACAAAACTTTTCACAGTTTGGTGATATTTTCCAATCATTTTGGATGTTGCTAATGTTGATTTTCCTTTTGCAAGTTCAAATGTTATAACAGACATCTTAGAATCGGTTAAGACAGAATTGAGACTCATAATTGCATGATTATGAATTCACTCGTTAATAATTTGGAACATTGAAATATCGTGTTACTCATGCAAATGGCTGCGGTTTGTTTACACTTGCGCAGAACCTTACAGTTTTTACACAGTACGCGCATATAGCAATTGCTATCATTCTGTGAAAACTTCATTAAATTCCAACGTGTAGTTTTTGCACAAAATGAAAACTTGTCACCTCGTTAGTAATTCGTTACATAGTGTGTATATATATATATATATATATATATATATATATATATATATATATATACATACGAGAATTCAAAACCTGAGGGGGGTTGTTTGGGGACCTTTTGGCACGCAGTGCACCAGGTCTCTGTATTCGGCCCTTCAAAAAGTGTGGATGGTCCTGCACGAAACCTTCACCACTATAATCGAATCTCATGTGCCGGTGTGGGGCTGTCAGTTTCTTGAAACTAATCTGCTTGATCCTCATACGTCGAACCCGACGGGAGAATCGATATATATATATATATATATATATATATATATATATATATATATACACATTTATATATATATATATATATATATATATATATATATATATATGTCCATGTATATATATATATATATATATATATATATATATATATATATATATATATATATATTATTATTTCATAGGTGACATCACGACGACGACCCCCCCACTTCCATAATAACACCAATACACGCAACCTACATAAATCCAAAATTAAAAAAAAATATAATAAGTTTGTCTAACCCAGGGTCACAAACTCACATCAATACAATCAAATATGTTAGCTCTATCTCTGATACTGATCACTTTCTAATAAGTACCGCGTATATAATATATAAATAATAATATATACAATATATTACACACACACACACACACACACACATATATATATATATATTTATATACACACAGATTTCATATATATATATATATATATTATTTCTAGTGGGTACACGTGTTCGAGTTGCTATCCCTGTTTTTATTTACTTAATGATCATTACAACCGGCCTAGATTGAAAAGTCATAGTAAAAAAAAAAAAAAAATTACCTCCAGATAGGTATCGAACCTGAATCCCTTTTTCCACGAAGGAAGCAGCCTCTACAGATGAAACATGCTGCTAGCAGTTTTTTGGGCATTCCTGGGTATGACGGTAAACTACATCCAGCATCGAGGCCACTGATCAAGAGATTGGAGATTCTGAGGAGCCTGGAACCACCTTTTAACTACTGTTGTGGTAGCATCTGTTGAGGTCCCAACTATTAGCAAATGATGTTTTTTATCTATTCATTTATTTCGACTACACCACTATCTTACCAGTAGTCTATAAATAAAGAATTGTAAGGCCGGGCAGTTTTAATATATGCCTAACGATTGGTATATGCATGAAACTTCGAGTAGTATTGAGCAGTGGATATATATATATATATATATATATATATATATATATATATATATATATATATATATATATATATATATATGAAGAAATATAGTCTTAAGGTGTGCTATATTTATGGGATAAAGTGCTCGATATCAGAGATAAAGCGTGTGTAAATATAAAAGTGGACATAGAAGTTAACACTTAGAGGCGACAGTCTGTTTCATAGGTTATTTTATTTATGTTATTTAAAAAAAAACAAAAAAAACAAGCAAAATAATTTAACCCAAATAAATAAATAAACGACTTCCGGTAAAATAACCGCCATAATAGACTACCCACAATGCACCACTGACCCGTATATGTATAAATAGCCGAGAAAAATAACAGCACACGTGGCCTGACGATTGCATATAGCATGAAACAGACTGTCGCCTCTAAGTGTTGACTTCTATGTTCACTTTTATTTATATACATATATATATATATATATATATATATATATATATATATAATTATTCTTGGTGCTACTTATGTATGTGATCTACCTTCCGAATCTGATCTATAAGAACAACTCATCACTGAAGTATGTGATCTACCAGTTGAAAAAATGCTCTACATTAATATATATATATATATGAAGAATAAGAAAAGAAGAAGCTGTCTAATATAATAAACAAATGATACTATACGATAAAGCAAATAAAGGAAATTATTATTTTGGCTGATACTAGGGAGGATAGACAATCTCAGCTACAGACGCCTGCTCAGGCATGTATTTTTTCAACGCCCACAGAGCCCACCTGTATATTATATTGCAACTATGCTGAACGGACCGTAGTTACAGTTTCTGGGAGAGAGCACGTTATCTAGCTAGTACGTCAAATTCTCGGTTATGCTGACTTGTGACATCGTGCCAGCGCGACCATGAATGGTTTTCGGGCACTATCCAAAGGTGCTGACATCGCTTCACCAGGCCGATAACATCACGAAATCACTTTCCTCATAAATCGACCCCGACGCGTCTCTCATATGCTAACCACTCGGCCATGAGCCCATTGAGACATACTATCACTGTCTGCAATAATAATAATAATAATAATAATAATAATAATTATTATTATTATTAAATTAATAAATAAAATATAAGCTATTAAACGACAAAGACCTCCAAATTAAAATCCTCAAAATGTAACACATGAGGACATCAAAAATCCCAGTTGTAGTTGGAACCCTGGAAGGTTTCGATAGACTCAGTGAAGGGATTCCTGATAGCCCAATCCTTAAAGAAAAAATTGTTCTTACGAAGGGCCTTATCTATGTAAAATATATGTGTGATTTTAGTTTTTTGGGTTACTTTTTTATCCTCAAAAATTGCTCAGTGGAAAATGCCATGACGCTATTTCTGACGTTAGGTCTCTGGTTGGGACCCGGAAAGAAGTGAGTAACCACCAGAAATCAAAGGAAATAACAACAACAACAACAACAACAATAATAATAATAAGTATCCAAACTAAAGTAAACAATTTGAACGTTATTCCTAAGTGCAATAAATACATTTTGGATCGATAATTTTCTTTAAGGTAGATCATATAATTAAGAAGAATCATGTACGTAGACAACATTCTTAAGCCGCACCTTATTCTTAGTATAAATATATGCTTATGGTAAGTATACGGCCGTTCTTTGCTATTATCCTCTTAGAAATGAAGCTTTCATTTTGCATGAATGGAATTGATCGTTAAAGCGCACGTGATCTGAACAATGGAGGAACTGCTTGCAGGTTAATTTACAGTCATAAGAAGAAACCTGACTTTCCGGTAAAAAAACAAACAAATATATAAATATATCATAAACTATCTTATTTATCAACCTTATTATTGTAGGATTTGTTTGTGGATAATTTTGTTGCTATTTATTAAGCCCGATTCAGTTCTGGAATAAAATAGAGATTGTGTGGCACACAAGGAGAAACGAACTCAATTCACTCTTTTTAAAACGAAGAAATTAGCTAAATAATACCCTGCGCTGAGGCGCCGCGTGTTTGCTGTTCGTTACTGCAATTCGTCCAACGCTATCATTAAAACCTTACCTGGAATGAAGATATTTTAACAGTGGAATGGAGACATTTTTAGTTCAATTTCTAACGTTATAATAATAGCGTTCAATTTAAGTTGCCGCTCACCCAGATAACAATTATCAGGTTTCAATTTTGTTTCTTAAAAGCTGGAAAGAAAATTATATTGACATTGAAAGAGAGGATGAATAAAGTAAAATTTACACATAATAATAACTTTATTTTGTAACAAATTAAAAAAGAAAAGAAAAATCATATATTTTGTATTTTTGCTTATTTATTTTGAATCAATTCACCCCTAATCTAGGTGATAATAACCTCTAAAACGTAAGGTGTTAGGTAAATGGCGTAGCGTCTCGAATCTGAAGATGCCGGTCTAGTAGCGCGGCTAGCTAATCTCCATTACATACGCCTGTGTTTTATACTGCAACTATGCTGAACGGAGTTTAGTTACTAATTTCTGGGAGAGAGATAGATAGCGTGATCAACAGACTGTTGAACAAGGCGAGCATCCATTTTTCACAGACAAGGCTTGGGTCAAACCGTGGTATGGTCTTCATATATTTTTCCAAAAAATCGTTCCTCCCGATAACAACAAGTCACGTTCCTGACGAATCGACCCTGGTGTGATTCGAACCAGTGTCTCATCGGTCAGAAGGCGAACGTTCTAACGTAATGTGTCGATATTGGGCGAAATAAAATGAGGAGACTTTAGAAGACGGAACCGGAAACCAACGCCCAAACCAATTAACCCGACACATGACACCATAACTATAAGGATTCTATATATAGTTGCATCAAGTAAAGTGGTTAGAAATGAAAACATTTCTAAAGGAATCGTGCTTAAGGCCATATCAAACATCGGTTCTCGTACAATTACCAGTTTAGCAAACGGCAAACAAAGTATAAACCTCTACTCCTGTTCAGAAGACAAGGAAGGAGTTTGAGCCATGTGATAGGCAATGCTATCAACTCCTCTTATTAATTCTTGCCAATCATGATAGAAATTATGCTAGCTATAAGTTAAATATCAGGTAGACTAGATTTTCTATCCTGGTTGGGAGACAGCTAATCTTTTGTTTCTATTTATCAAATTTATTCTTAAAAAATAATGAACGATTATATCTTATTCAATTATTCGTATATTCACAAGCCATAACCCGTTGAAACACCGGATCTAGTGTGATCCCCGAAGTTAAGCAACGTTGACCCAGGTCAGTATCTAGATTGGTGAACGCTTGGAAATACCAGATGCTGTTAGCATGCATGTACTGGGGCGAAATGGATAACGGTTCCAATTGAGAAATAGGAGAGAGCCGAAAACCAATTTCTGTTTGGTTCGTTACATTCATATACGCGTAAACACTTTTCGGAAAGGTATGAATATATCTGTTGCCCCCCCCCCCGCACAAAATATGGGTTGAAATATACATGCGAAATTTGTCTGGAATATTTGTGTCAGTGAGAAATTTTCAGTTCAAATTAGAGACTAATCATAATAATAGTCGTGCTACGGAAAAATCTATTTGAAAATAAGCACAGCACCTGAGAGAAAACTGAAATTGTAAGCGTCCCGATACTGATCCTTGTGAAATATAAAGAAGTATGTATCACAGCGTAGATTTATATGTATAACGTAAATAGACTTCAAAAGTTTTAGCTATAGAAATGCATTGAAAATTAGGAAATGACATAGTAAATATCAGTATTTAGGCATTAATGCCAACTTTAATGACAGAATATTGCCTTTTATATGATATTAGTGCATTGCTAATGATTCTAAGATAGACGTGAGCTGAAAATCAAAATCAGCATTTTAAAATATTTTACGACACAGAACGGAAACAGTGGATGTGATTCGAAAAGGCATAGAATTAACATATAAAAGAGAAAGGCATAAAGAAAAGGCGGAAAAGCCAGAGGATAACAACGGAATAAAGAAGAAGAAAACAAATGCTGCCCAAAGATATTTCCGTTTCTTTTCTTTTCTTTTTTTTCTGGGTATTTTGTTATTTTCCACATCAACCAAAGCATTCTTTTTCTACATTTTTTGTTAATTTCCCCATCGTCCAAATTTTTTCTATCTTTTTTGTTATTTTCCTCATCATCCAAAGCTTTCTTTTTCTACAATCTTTGTTACTTTCCTCATCATCCAAAGCTTTCTTTTTCTACCTTTTAGGTTATTTGCCTCATCATCCTAAACTTTCTTTTTCTATATTTTTTTTTTACTTTCCTCATCATCCAAAGCTTTCTTTTTCAAACTTTATTTTACTTTCCTCATCAAACAAAGCTTTCTTTTTCTACCTTTTATTGTTATTTTCCTCATCATCCAAAGCTTTCATTTTCTACCTTTTTCAGTTACTTTCCTCATTATTCAAAGCTTTCTTTTTCTACATACTTTGTTAGTTTCCTCATCATACAAAGCTTTCTTTTTCTACCTTTTTTGTTATTTTCCTCTTCATCAAAAGTTTTCTTTTATTAAACTTTTTGGTTATTTTTTCATCATCCAAAGTTTTCCTTTTCTACCTGTTTTGTTATTTTCTCATCATCCAAAGCTTTCTTTTTCTACATTTTTCTGTTATGTTCCTCATCAACCAAAACCCGCATTTTCAAAATTTTTTGTTAATTTCCTCATCAACCAAAGCTTTCTTTTTTTTACCTTTTTCTGTTAATTTCCTCATCATCCAAAGCTTTCTTTTTCTACCTTTTTCTCTTACTTTCCTCATCATCCAAAGTTTTCTTTTTCTACCTTTTTGGTTATTTGCCTCATCATCCAAAGCTTTCTTTTTCGACCTTTTTCTGTTACTTTCCTCATCGTCCAAAGCTTTCTTTTTCTACATTTTTGTTATTTTCCTCATCATCCAAAGCTTTCTTTTTCTAACTTTTTTGTTACTTTCCTCATCAACCAAAAACTTTTTCTAACTTTTTGTTGTTTTCATCATCATCCAAATCTTTCTTTTTCTAACTTTTATTATTATTTTCCTCATCATCCAAAGCTTTCTTTTTCTAACTTTTTTGTTACTTTCCTCATCGTCCAAAGCTTTCTTTTTCTAACTTTTTGTTGTTTTCATCATCATCCAAATCTTTCTTTTTCTAACTTTTATTATTATTTTCCTCATCATCCAAAGCTTTCTTTTTCTAACTTTTTGTTACTTTCCTCATCGTCCAAAGCCTTTTCTAACTTTTTGTTTTTTCATCATCATCCAAATCTTTCTTTTTCTAACTTTTTTATTATTTTCCTCATCATCCAAAGCTTTCTTTTCTAACTTTTTGTTACTTTCCTCATCGTCCAAAGCTTTCTTTTTCTAACTTTTTGTTGTTTTCATCATCATCCAAATCTTTCTTTTTCTAACTTTTATTATTATTTTCCTCATCATCCAAAGCTTTCTTTTTCTAACTTTTTTGTTACTTTCCTCATCGTCCAAAGCTTTCTTTTTCTAACTTTTTGTTGTTTTCATCATCATCCAAATCTTTCTTTTTCTAACTTTATTATTATTTTCCTCATCATCCAAAGCTTTCTTTTTTCTAACTTTTTGTTACTTTCCTCATCGTCCAAAGCTTTCTTTTCTAACTTTTTTGTTGTTTTCATCATCATCCAAATCTTTCTTTTTCTAACTTTTATTATTATTTTCCTCATCATCCAAAGCTTTCTTTTCTAACTTTTTGTTACTTTCCTCATCGTCCAAAGCTTTCTTTTTCTAACTTTTGTTGTTTTCATCATCATCCAAATCTTTCTTTTCTAACTTTTTATTATTTTCCTCATCATCCAAAGCTTTCTTTTTTCTAACTTTTTGTTATTTCCTCATCGTCCAAAAGCTTTCTTTTTCTAACTTTTTGTTGTTTTCATCATCATCCAAATCTTTTTTTTTAACTTTTATTATTATTTTCCTCATCATCCAAAGCTTTCTTTTCTAACTTTTTTGTTACTTTCCTCATCGTCCAAAGCTTTCTTTTAACTTTTTGTTGTTTTCATCATCATCCAAATCTTTCTTTTTTCTAACTTTTATTATTATTTTCCTCATCATCCAAAGCTTTCTTTTTCTAACTTTTTTGTTACTTTCCTCATCGTCCAAAGCTTTCTTTTTCTAACTTTTTGTTGTTTTCATCATCATCCAAATCTTTCTTTTTCTAACTTTTATTATTATTTTCCTCATCATCCAAAGCTTTCTTTTCTAACTTTTTGTTACTTTCCTCATCATCCAAAGCTTTCTTTTTCGACCTTTTTCTGTTACTTTCCTCATCGTCCAAAGCTTTCTTTTCTACATTTTTTATTTTCCTCATCATCCAAAGCTTTCTTTTTCTAACTTTTTGTTACTTTCCTCATCGTCCAAAAAGCTTTTTTTTCTAACTTTTTGTTGTTTTCATCATCATCCAAATCTTTCTTTTTCTAACTTTTATTATTATTTTCCTCATCATCCAAAGCTTTCTTTTTCTACATTCTTTGTTACGTTCCTCATCATTCAAAGCATTTTTTCTACCTTTTTCTGTTACTTTTCTCATTATTAAAAGCTTTCTTTTTCTACATTTATTGTTACTTTCCTCATCATCCAAAGCTTTTTTTTTCAACATTCTTTGTTACTTTCTTCATCATCCAAAGCTTTCTTTTTTATTTTAACATGATCTTCCACTCAACATGACTCCCAATTTATAATAAAGGATCAGAAACTGTTTCTTTCAAAACAAAAAGATCATATTCATATCCTTTAGCTCGAGAGACATATTAGTTAGACTAATAGGGAAGCCGGTGAGATATGAACATGTTTGTGTTTGGTAGATATCTTAGATTGTGTCTATTGTGTTAAGATGTCATCAAACTATGATTAAGTATAAGATTATATTAAAGTCTCATGCCATTTTCGCGCAAGACTAAAAGCAAGCAGTACCTGTGAAAAGCCCACGGTTTTCCTAATTGAATTATCCGATGAGTCCAAATTCTTAAGTTAATCATTAAATATGCTCCTTGGGAGTTTCGTGACAAAATATATCTTAACAACTACTTTAATAAAATATTGCAATAACAATCAAAATATGTAAATCAGGTCATTATTTCAAGTAGTAAGACAGGGAAATCGTCTTATCCTTATTTCTATGGTGACCTTCTGGAAGGGTCTTTTCACGAAAATTGACTTTCGCAGACACTATAGATTGGGAGTCAGGGTTGTACATTGGGGATCTGGGGACAGCAATACAGGATCGAAGAGTGGGAAAAGGGTTTGTCAATCAGGGAGCTCGAAGGATGATGAGGATGAAAGTAGGAAGTGCGAATTTTGAATTAGACATTGTATATATATATATATATATATATATATAATATATATATATATATACAATGTAACCCGGATATAAGAGAGTTGTCAGGACTGGAGAAGAAGTCTCTTATATCCGGGTTACACTGTATATATATATATATATATATATATATATATATATATATATATATGTGTGTGTGTGTGTGTGTGGAAAAAAATTCTGATAGCAAATAACTGTAAAAGTAAAGGTAAAAAAGAAAACTTATCTAAGCCGATAGATTTTTCATCTGAGGGATTTTATCAAGGTAGAAGATAAAACGGGATAAGTTTTGCTTTTGTCATTTTTCATATCTTCATATATTTATATTTGATTTATAACCTGTAGTCTATACTAATTTTCCCAATTACAAAGCGGCCCTTTAAGTAAACACAATTTTATTTTCCTTCGTCCCATCTCTCTCCCCCACCCTTTCTTTTTTTTTTTTTTTATCCCTTCCTATCCGAATTGTCTGTGGTGTGTATATGTCACCACGAAATGTATCTTTTTGTATTAGACATCCGTCGACTTTCTTTCTCTCCTCTTTTTAAATCCACCCCACCCACATCTCCAAAAACTCTCTCTGTTAAGGTTTCATGTCACTCCCCCTCATACTTACACTTTCTCTAAATTCTGTTTTGATTTCCGGAGTTGTTTTTTTCTGTTTTCATTTTGAATTTGTAGGTCTGATGATTTGGATCGTATTTACGATTCCAATGGAATAAATTATGACCATGGAATATTAGTGTTTAAGCCTTTTTTTATATATATATATATATATATATATATATATATATATATATATATATATATATATATATATATATATATATATATATATTTAAAAAAGTAAAAATAGAACGAACATATTTATAATCCGGGGTTATTTAGCTTTTATTTTAAAAAAAAAGTGTTTGATACACAATAGAGCATACTATTATAATTGGCACTTAAAAGAAACAAATAAAACACCA